GAATGTGTTTACAACAAATTATCTTATTCAAGAAAACAGTGTTAGTTGGTGGTTCAATACTTTCAGTGTGTATTGATTTGTTGCATCATTTTTTAAAGTCAATTATGAAGAAAGGGGCATTTGTTAAATTTTAATTTAGACCAACCCCATACTTTAATAGTGAGGGGTGTTTCATAAAGCTGTTCGTAAAGTTACGCATGACTTTGCGAACGACTTGAATATGAAGTGCCAGATAGGATGCCCAAAGTTTGTCCTTATGTTTTCACAAAGTGTGACTATTTTTCCAATAACCTCAATTAAATTATGGGCTGGCAAAAAATGTACTTTGTATTAAAAATGTTTGTTATAATAAGAAAGTTAATCTACATCTGCACAGTTCAACTTTAGTTGATACAGTTAAAAAATGATTGAGCATCCCATTTGGCTTATCATATATAAAGTTATTCGTAAAGTCATGCGTAACTTTACAAACGGTTTTATGAAACACCCCCATGTATATGAATTATTATGAACCAGACTACCAGCAATCTTCTTATTTTTTTCAAGCAACCATTTTAGATAACGTGAATGGTTCTACATGTATATATGAAGCACCTAACATTACAGTATACACTACATACATGTAGTTGAGTAAATTTGCTTTATGTCCAGGAATGTATACATAAGTTTAAGACACTGTAATTTCAATACTACTAATAAAATATTGAAAAACAGTCAGCTCACAATTTTAATTGTTTCTTTTAAGAAATGATGGGGGACTGTGAGCTATGCACATTGTATTTGTATGTACATTGATTTTACACTCCTGTAAATATGAAAATTGGAAGATTTGTAGTAATAACTAGATATACGGCTAGTATTATTATCTACCGTTATTAACATTTCACATGTATACAAAATAATTTCACATTTGTTTATCATAGAATTTAAAAAATGAAATGCTTGTATGTTTTGATTTGAAATGAAATGTAAAATTTGGAAGGAATGAAGATTTAATAATTTAATCTCTACAGGTGTCTGTGTTCGTCACGTGTATGCATCCCCATGCAGTACACATCAAATCTACTATGTTTATCTATTAAAGTTTCATGTTACTTTATTGCAGAAAGAAAATACTGAAATATAAGTATTACAATTTTATTTGGAATCGGATATCATGTCAGAAGGAATGAATATATGTTATCATTTTATCTCCAGGTGTGTTTTATCACATGTATGCATATTCACACAAGCTAGCCTTTTTTTTAATTTCCTAATTCCCTATTTGCTTATAAAGAGAATTTGATATGTCCTAACTATTCATATACATGTACCACTTGACACTTGGTCACTATATGTTATCATTGTGTTTGCAATATTTTTTGTAATGCAAATGAAAAATGTATATATGTATATTTGGGTTCGATCATGTCATCATATTAATAAATACAATGGAAACAACTCAACTTTAACATTTCTGTGTGTCTGCCAGTGAATGTCTATGTTTTGTTTGTTCTATGTACTTGTATGTTTTGGCTGATAGAGGATGTCTGTACATGTACACTGAAGAGACAGGGGTCAGTTTCTCGAAACCATCCAACGACCACGAACTTAGACTTATGACTGGGCCTTGGTGCCTGGTGAGATTCTGTTTATTGTATGGTTTGATAGCAACAATGAAAACCTTCTCTTTTTTTTCAAATGCATAATCACGTTTATATATGAAGTCTCCGATAAACTTCAAATGTCCTTTGGGAAATCATTACACAACCTGTAGCTACAGCAACCACCTTGAGACCTTTAGGTGCCAGCACCTAGGTCGGTCTGTCGATTATTTTTTCTTCCCCTCTTTGGGCTAATGTTTCTCAATTTTTTTTATTTTGGGGTCAGTCGCAAAGGGCAATACAACATCTTTGTTTAGGCCTTAGAGTAGAGTGCATTTTGCCTGCTAGAACTAACGTCCGAGTAATAATATCCAAAGCTTTGTGAAAGAGCATAGAGACATTACATTGAGTGATTTCAAGTTGGGTGTTTAAGGCTGGTGTTAGTGTTTAATAAACACTAACACCAGCCTAAACACCGAAATGGAAATCAGCTGGTGTTATGGCTTTGACCTCTGAACATCGTCAACTTCCGGTAGCTAGTGTTATCGATTTTGCAAAATTGTCGTCTGCTGAACCGACCTTTGTGGCTGGTGTTAATATTTTACGTACAAATGTCCTATTCACTAACACTAGCCCCTAGGGATTAAGCAAATGTTGATTTCCAGTTCGGTGTCAGTGTTGTACCCGCACACAGTCAACGCACGAATGACGCCAATTTATTGTCTGACGATCAAATAAAAATATGTGAAACAGGTAATTCATATATTCTTTCGTGTAAAATTAGTTATTTTCTAAGACCAGAGAAATAGGTGTAAATTTATTCTGTACTTTTCATGATATCTTTAGTTTTGATGAACTATTTTTAAATCATCGTCGTAAAATCAAGTATGTGGTGACGTCACGGCTGGTGTTAAGCTATCGATTTTGATATCGGTATCGGGCTCTTAATTTCATCAGCAAATTCTCCGCTCGATTTAAGAGCTCTTGACTGCTCTAAACACTAACACTAACACTAACACCAAACTTGAAATCACCCAGTATGTGATGGACTTTATTACAAACAAACAAGAACAACAAAAATTTATCGTTATCAATTAGTGAACAAATTTTACTCTACATTCACAAAGTCCAAAGTATAGGGTTTTACCTCGGTCAAACCGACTCCAGACTGACTGACTTTTTGCCATTCGGGGTAATGTATTTGTTTAATCGGTCTGGTGTCGGTGGTTTGACTGGGGTATACAGTGTAAGGGTTGAAATTGGGATTTAGGTTAGATTTGGGGCTAGGTCTCAGTGTTGAACTTAGAATTTGGCGAGTGTAGAAAATTTCTGCCGAGCAATTGTCACTGGAGCAAGAGACATACAACAACAATGTATTTATATCAGTCACATCACTTCATAGGACAGGTCCCATGGTCAATGAATAGCATTTCACAAGATTTAGTTTGCATAAAATCAATTTTATTCTCATTGGCGATTATACATATGTAAGATGAAGAGAGAGAGAGAGAGGAGGTTTAGCAAAATGGAGACTGCACAGGTGTTTGCGTGAGATTCTTTGACACTTCCACAATATGACTTTTAATGAATTTTCCTACATTTATTTTCACTTGCAATGACTTCATACTGTAGATCAAATTTCACAATATGAACGGTGAAAATACACCAGGTATTTAAACTTTGTATGAAATAGCATGAGCATGGCAGTTCTTGTACAATAGTGGCAATAAACAGTCTCCACAGTATAATCCAAGTATATTGATTTTAATTCATAAAACTCATCCCCAAGACAACACATCTATAAAAAGACACAAGGTTTCATAAAAGTTTTTAATGAATATTTCCAATGTTTGAGTGGCAGTACTGGTTTTCAAAAGGATTTTGAGGGAAAAAACACAAAATTGTTCTTTTATAATTGTCCGATTTTAGAAAACCGAAGGAAAAATGTGTACAACTTACTTAATACCTTGTACTACGCCCTATGGTCAAAGACAGAGATTATGAAAATCAGACAGTAAGGCAAAAATATCTTGCCCCAATTAAAAATTATTAAATCTAGTTGTTTGGGACTCACAGCATAGCTTATCTTTAAGAAATTAAAATTATATATACAAACATCAAGAATTTCTGGATATGGTAAGAGGGGTTTCCCCTCAACTGTGAAAAATAAATGATCCTGATCTGTCTCGTAACTGCAGGATACTGTTATACATATTGACAATTTTTAAAAACATATTCCGTTAAGTTTTCAAGAATATAGATTTGCAATATATTCCAGTTATTTCCAAAAGCAAAGCAAACCAAAATATATGAAATTTCACATAAAATATGCAATGACCATTTAAAGATATTGATCAAGATCAGAATCTACAACAGAGAGCAATAAAATTATCATTCACAATTAATGAAAATATAAATAAAGGGGTTTTTAACAACAGAGTTTGCTCATTAATGATGTAGTTGTACCAATATTTTAAGTTACATAACAGATTATTACCTGGAAAGCAGCTTTAAAAGCAGTAGGATTCTCATTAAATATGTTTTAACAAGAATTACCAATGTTGTATAACTTTTGCTAAAATCTCAAAGAGGTAACTAATACCTTTGAGGGATCCTTTTGAAAAAATATATACTGAGCAGATAATCTTTACGTGGTAATAAAAATATGCAAATATGCAAATGTGAATAAATTATACAATGATATTTTAATCTAACAAGTTTGGGGCTAAATGAACTATACATTTGCCCTTTTAGAGTTCACACTTTTTTATTCTTTATCAGATTGATTTAGGCATTGTTTAACAATGTTTCCAGTTTTACAAATCTGAGATGCATTGCCCTACGTGTCATCAGTGTCTGTGATATGGTGTGCCCTAAAAAAAATTGCGCTTCAAAATGATCATGAAGTGCCTCAAAAAGGTAAAAATCTTTGAGTGACCGGTTTTACCATACTCATTTCCCCAATAGACAGTAGTGTTATAAAAACAGTTGGGGAAAATTTCAAATTCCAGTCATAAATATTTTGATAATCAGACAGACGATCGGCTTGTAAAAGTCATGGGATTCCTGACTGACCTAAAGGTTTATAATTATGATTGCAGCATTCATGAGCTAAATCCAAGATTTTGTTTAGAATCTGAGGCAAAGATACCCAATCCCTTTAAAGGGTCCAAATATACATGTATATATATATATGCAGACATTGCGGGTGTGCAATCTGACAGTGCGAGTTGAGAGGCTCAAACCAAGGTTCAAAACCTTCAACCCATGGTATTAACCAGAAAAATCTCATACAGAGCATTTCTTGTTCAACTATTCATATCAGATCACGCAAGCATAGGAACAAAGCATATGATCCGTTCTTAACATGGTAGCCAAGCAATGACATCATAAACTGGTCCATACTTCACTCTTCACTATTCAAGCTTTCAAAGCTTCGATGATAAGGGTCAACGACCGATGACCTCAGGCCTTCATGACGAGCATGTACCGATGACATTCAGTGTCCAGTAGCAGGTAACTACCAACGCCACAGCACGATGCATTGCTATATATCACATTCAAGCATTGGCAAGCCGTTGTCCTTACTGCATATTAAACGAGCAGTACATTTAGTAGTTTTTTTCTTCCAAATAAATATATTTCTATTGACTAAAGTTATTCTCGTCAAAGAAGCTTTAGCTTGCCGGTCACCTGATCCACCTTGCTGGCCAATCCAAATATTGATAAGACTGTACATGACCCCGCAGGAATCTGTGAATGATACAAAAAAAAAAGTGAAATTATCAAATTCAAGGATCAAAATGCAACTAATACATCAATATTTCTCCATTTGATACCATTTGATACTGATAGGTGCTAAGTAGGCTATCGTTTTACACACTGGCTCAGTTCCTTTACCCACTTACACTTAAATAAAGCTCCCATGTATGGACAAAAAATCTCATCCTAAAATAAAACTAATCAATGAAAATAAGATTATTGCACTTAGACTGACAATTGTATGAAAAATGTACTGCTGTGTTCCTGGGAAGGAGCATTCACTGCAGATTTTTTTTTCTTCAATGAAATAATACAAATATCCAGGCTGCTACTGCTCCCTTTTGCAGGGCTAATGATATATTTTGATTTTTGTTTGCATGATATTTGATGTATACCACGTTGACAAACATAATACAAGAGCAATTGTCCTTGTTCAAAATCTTAAATTAAAGTACTGCAGACAAGACCCGACAACAAGCCCTGGAAATATTTTCTCCTGGCTTTATTTTATCTATGATAAGGGGGTAGAAAAGGGGGTTACATAAGAGGTGGCTTGCATAAGAGTGTAAAGCTAAGGTTATGGTCAGGTGGTGTAGTCACCAATACAGGGAAGGAAGGTTGGAAACCGCGCCCTGTTTCACAAAACTTTTTTTAAACAAAAAAAGCTAAATACCACAATTTCAATAGCTTAATACAGTTATTGATAACAAGTTTTATGATACAGATCCCTGACTAGTGTCAAAATCAACCAAAGAGCCATCGACACAGTAGCACATGTTCAACAATAATAATAATAATAGCGCTTAATACAGTCAAACCTGCTTTTTTAATAGCAACCACCTGTATAGAAAGACCACCTGTATAGAAAGACCACCTGTCTATATAGGCCACATATTTTGTTTCCCTTGAAAATGGTTTCTCATTGAAACATGTAATAAAGGAAACTGTACATAAAGACCACCTGCCTATAAAGACCACTTTTCTTGTCTCCCTTGGGTGGTATTTATAGACAGGTTTCACTGTACTTTGTTTCTAGGTGTAGCACATATTCACCTGCGTTCTGCCTGCATCTTGGACGAGGTAGCTTGGAAGACCAAGAGAGACAGCCTGGGACTGGAGTTGTTCTAATCGCTCTTTTGACTCCCCGTTCAAAACAATTTTCCCCTCTCTGTTGGAAGAACATAGAAGGATAGATGAGATTTTAATTGAGTGGAGGCAGCATGCAGCAGTGGATAGAGTGATAGGCTTGTACATGAGATTTCATGGATTCAAGACAATGTCAATGCTATATGTCAATTTTTTTAATAAGAAATGAATATTCAATTACATAGTCTCAACTTCATATTAAAAAGTTCACACTACATAATGTTGCTTATTCCAAACGAGTCTTACCACAATTAAAAATTTGTCAACAAATTTAGCTGTAAAGAAATGAATGAGCATCCTAATTCTGTTCAGCTACAGAATTAGTTGTTGTTTATTTCCTATATTTCACCAATATGACTCATTTTACTATTCAGGGGATATTGTCTAAAGTGCCCTCTACCATGACAAGACACATCAGCTACATTCCTTTATCCCTTTTCTCATTGTGGCAATAATTTTAGATGAAAATTCTTGTTTTCTTGGTGAAGCGCGAGCAAACAATATAATCCAAATACAGCTAACAGCTTTGTACAAAGGAGTGGGGGGGGGGGGGTTCAATGTGACAACTGTAGACTTTTTCTTTCTTTTTGTCAAAATTTGGATATTTTTCTTGCTCGATCCAGAACTTACCCAACAGCCTCCCACTGCAGCAGTTGCTCTGCATACTGCTCCTGTTCTCTCATCAGTATCCTATGGAGACCCAGACATGCATGGCCGACCTGAGCAGCTACTTTACCGACTCCCATCTTCAAGGAGGAATTGACCGCAAACACCATCTTGACATTATCAAAGTCCTGGGTGGAAAATTAAAAAATGAAGAAGAAAATAATGAAATAACTTCAGGGAGGGAAACCTTTCTTCAGACAAAATGCCAATGGCACATTTATTCAATGTTCTATATACAAAATTACCTGTAATTAAACTCATTCAAAAGCATAGTGTACATGTACAGATAAATTCTGGACTCAGAGCATTCTTTAAAAAGAGGAAGGCCATCCTGATATTAGGACTGAAACACAGAGAAACATGGCAGTGGAAGTCTGAGCAAAGTGTGAAAAAGAATAAGAGATTTATAATTTATGTTGAAACTGTGAAATGTGAAATTTTTGAAGCTTGCACTTGAAGTCAAACAAATTGAATGTCTAGGTCACATCCTATACTTCTATACCTTCTGGCAGATAAGCATCGTGTTAAACAAATCGTCCAATGAAGACTACTACAACAGTACGGGATACAACCTTACCATTGGATTTTCTGCCATTACTCCGCCTGCAGACATGTCAGCATTCTCAAAAACCCAAGATACTGCAGCTTCTGCTGAAATATTTCCAGTTGTTTGAACTGCCTAAAAAGATAACAATAAACATTTTTATCAACATACATATTGTTCTACAGTAAAAGAGTCCATGAACAAACAAAGAAATAAACATGTAATTTGATAAGATAATCTTAATAATAGGGTATTACTAATATATTTGATTAAATGTCAATCAAAAAAATTGCATCCTGACATACTTTACATTATATTCTGGACAGAGAGTTTTCTTTAAAGGGAAAGGTCACCCTGAAACCAAGATTTCAAATAAAAGCAGACAAAAATCAAGAATTTTTGTCTGTAAATGTTTGAGCAAAATGAGATGTAAAATGAGAAAGTCATTCCTTTAATGTTTTGAAGATCATAACAAATACTCAAATAGGCAACACCATGATTTCCTTTTTAATCTATTATATATTGTCATGGGAATTGAAGGTTATCTTTAGTGTTACAGTTATCTAGTTCTGTTACCTTTTCAGCCAGCTTTCTGTCAATACCCATCATCATCAGCATCTCCACAAATGCCATGCACGGTACGCTGGCTTCACCTGAAAGCTCTGCCGGGTTTTCTTCAGACTGTGCAGCCATAGCTAATACTAAAGAGATTAGATTTCAACACTGCAGAAAAAGAGAAAATAGTCTGTGGATTTAATCTTAAAAATCAGTTTGGCAAAAGAGGCAGTTATTACAATTTTGACTTGCAATGTTTTTTGACTCCTCTGGGCATCATTCCAATCACTTGAAATTATAATTTGAAGAAGTCTTTGATGGGAAAAGTGTGATTCTTCGTCCTAATCTGACGATTCATTCATGTTGTATGGTTGATTTATCATGGCGATAAATTATCATGGAGACAGTACACACGCGCAGTAGCAGCGGAGGAAATATGAATATTCATGACAATTGACATAGAGCGCTGTTCGCTCGAAATTGCTTAATATGCAAGAGGTTGAGAAGGGCTTTGTCTCTTTGATTTATGCCATGACTCTCTCTTACATGTGACGCATGACGTAAACTCACTGTACAGCGCTCAATCAATGCAATGTCAATGCGCAAAGTTCTACGTGCTGGGCTAGAGCCTACATTAGGGGTGAAAATTCTTGACATTTTTCAGCTACATACACAATTGATATGAGTTATCCTGATTTCGAAAGGGAATCTTGCCTTCATTGAAAACAACAAATTTTCATTATTAACATCAAGACTAGACCGAAAGCTTCAGTCTCTATACTGTCGGTTGTTCCACTGAGACTACGTCTGGCTCCACTAGACCTCCGGTTATACAGAACGATCGCCTATGCCAGCCTATGTTGAAGATATCACGGCTAGATTTTAGCCGTTAGGCCCCTCCCACAAACATGAACATGAATGACTATGAAGCAAAAACTGTGCGTAATGGCGTTATCACAGTTTTTCCTTCATAATCATTTTTGCCTTCGGCGTAGACTAGAAGGGATGAGATTGACGGCAGCGAGAGTTTAACACGGCTTGCAAGATTTTCAACATGGATGTCGATTTTGACCCATAATTTCCTTAAAAGGGACCATTAAACGGATTATTTCAATCAAGTTGGAATAGGAATATTTATAGATCTCTCAAAGGCGTTTGATATAGTTAATCACGATATTCTATTATGTAAACTACAGCATTATGGTGTACATGGCCTCCCACTCATATGGTTTAAAAACTATCTATGTAGTCGTTATCAATTTACCATATTCAATGATGCTTCTTCCACTCATAGTTTAATTAAACACGGGGTTCCACAAGGTTCTATATTAGGTCCCCTATTATTTCTCATATACGTTAACGATATTGAAAAATCATCTACCAAATTTGACTTTATTATGTATGCAGACGATACCACTTTGTTCTTTACTCAGCCGGATTTAAAAGATATGCAAGAGAATATTAATGTTGAACTACATAACATATCTAAATGGTTTAAGGCCAATAAATTAATACTTAATCTGACTAAAACTTGTTTTATATCTTTCCATAATAAGCTGTCCAATGCGACTAAAACCTGCAATGATCTTACATTAAGTATCGATTCTACACCAATAACTAAATCTAAATCTATTTGTTTTCTTGGAGTCAATATAGATGAAAATTTGAAGTGGGATTCACATATTAACTATTTAAGTACCAAAATATCTAAATGCATTGGTATTATGTATAAATTAAGAAGCTGTCTTCCTGGTTCAGCCTTATTCTCACTGTATAACGCCTTAATATTATCACATATCTTATATTGTATAACTGTCTGGGGAAATTGTAGTAAAACCAAATTAGATGTCATTTTCAAATTACAAAAGAGGGCAATACGAATATGTACTGGTAGTCATTATCTTACTCATTCGGCTCCCCTTTTCCATAAATTGAATACTTTGAACATTTTCCATTTATACCAATATCATACTATCCTACTTGGATATTTTTACTTCAAGAGTATCCTCCCCAAAAATATTGTTAAAATGTTCACTATAAATAAAGAAATTCATTCCCATGGCACACGAAACAGCAGCTTATTTCATTTATGGAAAGTCGGGAAAACCTTTGTACAACGGTCAGTTCGATATAGTTTCCCAACAATCTGGAACTCACTTCCCAATTATATTTGTTCATGCATCTCTCTCTCTCTTTCTTTCTTTAAAAGAAAATTGAAACAATATTTTATTTCAAAATATGCTTAGTTTGCAACTCTTTGATATTTGAAAACATCCACTTGAAAAAGGAAGTAATTTAGGTTTTCAGGTTGTTGTTGTTTTTTTTTTTTTTTTTTTTTTTTTTTTTTTTTGGGGGGGGGGGGGGGGATCGGGTAATTACTTGGATGCACTTTATATCTGTTGGCATCTACATGTAGGTATTTTGTATTTCATATTCTATGCATGTATATATTCATATCCATTGCTTGTTTCTTTTCCCTTTGTTGTACAAATTTGAAACTATTATTATGAAGCCTCCAAATCACTCTCTAGCAAATGAGGACTTTTTTTTTCACAAGGCCAATCTGGCTTTATTTTAAAGTTCTCATAATTCATTTTCTTACAATGTAATAGGCCTACTTATAATATTTATTGCTTTTTATTTCATGACTTGTAAATATGTATGTTTTTTGTCACGTAGATCTACAACTGTCTGTACATTTTAGAAATGAATTGAATAAATGAACTGAACTGAACTGAAGTTAGTAAGTGGAACCGATGTATTATAGCCTAGGCCTAATGTAAAATTGGATATGCACGAGGTAAAATGACATTTTGGGGGATTTTGGGGGCATAACAATACGGCCGTGGCAAGTTTGTTCATGTTTGTGGGAGGGGCCTAACGGCTAAAATCTAGCCGTGATATCTTCAACATAGGCTGGCATAGGCGATCGTTCAGTCTCTATAACCGGAGGTCTAGTGGAGCCAGACGTAGTCTCAGTGGAACAACCGACGGTATAGAGACTGAAGCTTTCGGTCTACATCAAGACATGACATGACAAAAATACCAACAGGTGGGACTACAGACCAAAGAACATCGATTTTAAAAAGAAGAGTCCACACTAATTTTGAGATGAAACCAAATCAAAATGACATCCACAACTAATACATAATACTTCACTCTAAAATGCCAAAAAACTTACCGCAAATAAAGTGGAAAAGGACACAAATACCGTAGTGAAATCCAAGATCTAACAAAATGTTTCCTTCTCTCTCTTTCTAAGGATTTTTTTTAAAGAGCGTCCTCTTTCGAGATCGAAACGCGATGATGTGACAAAGCGGCAGTACTATTTCATCCTACTTTAAAAAATGGTAATAGTAGGTTACGAAGCGTAGGTCGGAAAAGCTAATGATCGCGCGAGCCGTAGCAACGTGCACCTGTCGTACCTAACGACGAGACGCTAGATCTAGACGCGGGTAATATCAGAATACATTTGAGCCTTTATCTTTGCATTTCAAGTTTATCGCTGGTAAGTGACGATTCTTGTTCTATTAATTTTATATATCATTTTACAGTTTACATTAAAACATAACAGAATATGCTAGATGATAGTACAGTCTACATGCAGACTATACAGTTTGACAGACACAGTTTAATTAGGAGGTATAGGTCAAACACAGGACCGTGCTTACGTAATTGTTGTTGTTCAGCGTTATATGCGAAGCAGTCAATTTTGGCTATGATCACCAACTAAATTGTCTTTTTGTATTAAATATAAACTTTTGATTATGATTATCAATAGAGTTATAGACCCCTCTAATTTATTATCATTTTCTATTGCTGTATTCTCAAAAAAATTGGAATGCTCCATGATATTGTGCAGAACTTGATTATATCATCTATATGACCCTGACACAGGTATGAAAACAAAAACAGTTTCTTTCTTTGTAGAGAAATATACATTAATAATCTTATATATATTTACAAAGTAGTTTATTGTAGTCTCCAATCCTCAACAGTACTAGCAGACATATATGACCCAGTTCCTAAATGCAATTGTCATTTATATTCTTAGTCAAACTTGAGTTCCAAAATTTCTTACAATTTGTCTTATTAAACTTGATAATATATTACTCTTTCTATCTATCTCTTCTGCATTTATTTCAAGCAATTTGACAAAAGTGATCAGGCTTGTCTTTTCCTTTGATTTATCCACAAAAAAAAGATTTTAATCTCGTTCTTTCTTATTTTAAAGATTGAAGAAG